AGTAATTAATGACAGAACTTTCATTCTCGGGTGAACTATCCCTTTAAGGCCTGACACTGAAGGAACACACTGGAGACGGTTGGTCAGGGTTCTGGTTTCACCTGTAGTCTGGCTTCCACCTGGTCCAGCGTGGCAGCGTCCAGCGCACCGACCCGCGCCTGCAGCAGCTCTATAGTGTCCTGCAGACGGCAAGAGACCTGATCACATGACCACATCCACTCGTTTCACAGCCAGCAATGCAAGTTTTCATGTGGTATTGAATGCTTTTTTTATGCTATGGTTGTATTTTTGGCAACTGCATGTTAAACTCCTTTTTATTTTGGCATAAAAGAAAAATCTATAATTTTGACCCATACAATGTATTTTTGGCTATTGCTAGAAATATACCCCAGCGACGACTACTTTTGTGCTCCAGGGTCACATATGCATCTCTCGTTGTGTAAAGTCATTGAATGTTAATACTGATGGTGCTGTTATAGTGATGAGTGTGTGTTTACCATCAGACTGGCTCCCTGAACCCCAGAGCTGAGCGGACCCTACGACACACACACACACACACACACACACAGAGAGAGAGAGAGAGAGAGAGAGATCAGTTAAAGACCTAAATAACAGTCTAAAAAATCTTTTTTTTCTTAAATGTAACAGTTTATTGAACCTTTTAAAAAAAAATCTAAAAACAAAATGAGTTTTCAGGCTTTTATGGCTCATGTAGTCTGATATAGTGAGAATATGGAGGAAAAAACTGCTCAATTTTATTAAAAAAATATGAATTTGGTGCAGATGCTGATATAGACTCTAAAACATGATTGATGGAGAATCAAGTAAAGCTGAGCTGCTTCAGTCCAGTAAGTGTTCATCTGGAAATATTACTGCAGTTATTCTGACGATTACTTGATAAAAATCAGTCAAGATTTGAGACGAGCTGGACGTTTCTACAATTACACTAAAAGAGCTTTTACTGGATAAACGAGTCATCAATGAACTATCAATCAGACGACAGAAGACATGCATTAGATTGAGTGTGAAACAGGACTGACAGCAGCTTTGATCATTTAGAGCGTTAGAAATCATCAGCAGTGCTAGTGAGCGTGTCTCACGCACCTGTTTCTCTGAGCCGGATCCCAGCGCCGTCTCCAGTTCGGCCAGCCGTCTCTCCAGCTCGGCGACCTGCGGTCACACAAAGAACGTCTGCGTCAGACACGGCCACAGGAAGTGACATCACACTGGGTGTTTCATAAAGGCCGTACTTTAGCAGACTCTGTGAACTTCTCTTGCTCCGGTCGGCTGTGGAGCTCGTAGAGAATCACACCGTCTGGTCCTTTGGGTGCCGCTGTCTTGCTTTCTGCACCCGCTCCGCTCCTCACGCCCCGAGCCACCTCCAGCTGAGTCAACAACCGCCTGCCAACATACAGAACGCTCAGCTTCGTTAGAGAAATCTATGACGAAGAATGTTTGCGGACAAACCTTTTTCCCATGACTAAAACGAGATAATAGCTATGTTTCCATCACCCTATTTTAATGCGCATTTTGAAGTATATCGCATAAGAAACGAGTGATGGAAACTCCAAATTTCGAATAAAAATCCCTTAATTCGTTTTTACGCTCGCTTGAGGTGGTTTTTGACTTGCGCGAAAAAGGGTTGATGCGAATAATGGGAGATGGAAATGCATTTTGCGAATAAATTTCTCCAAGCGCATTCAAAAATGTCATGTGACTTTGCGCTATGGAACGGCATAACCTGACTAACCAGCAGACCGATCTCATTCCACAGCATCTGAAATGTTTTTATGGTCATTCGGAAATGCATGAGCAAAGTCTATCATCAAAGTATTTCTGTAGGCTTGCCTCCCAGAAATGTCTTACACGACTGCGTTCCCAAACAGCAGCATCCACCTCCGAAAGCAATGACCGCATTCATTGTGTTTCGTCTTTCTCGCTCTGAGGCGCAAGTCATTTATTATATATGAAAATTATTATATTCTCCTACTTTTCTTAGTGATTTATAGTGCCAGTTTATCAGGAAGTGACAATTTTGTTCTCTTTGACTTGTTGGATGGAAACGATGCTTGTTCGCAAATGTTTTATGCGATATTCCAGTTTTGCGCATAAGTTAAATTCGCAACTTTGGATGGAAACCTGGCTAATGACGAGAGGACAATTAGGTCATTAAAAGACAAATGTCTGTGACTATATCAACATGCAATATCAGTGACAATAAAAGGCAAGACTAAAATGTATTTTATTTAATGTAACTTTACCAAAATCTTGGTTACACTTTATTTTAAGGTGCCCTTGTTACAGTGTAATTACAATAAGCATTGTGCTTTGGTACTTTTAATATGAAACAAAGTCTCAGATTTCAAATTTTGTCCATTGTATTGCAGTATTTAAACAATAAATGCCGTTTTGGTGCGGTTTAATGTGAAGTGACAGATCGCTGTAGTGCCTTAGTGAACTGATCGAAGTGACTTACAGTGCATTCAGGATATACATTTTTTACCAGTATGTAAAAAATATAACATATTTATAGTAATAAATATAACCATATAACATATTCATTATAATTTTTACTGTCCTTCAATGTTTAATTTATGTTTAAATAAATGCATCAAGTTTTTATGACAGCCCCTAT